AGCCCCGCGTCAGGCTCTGGGCTGATGGCTCGGAGCCTGGAGCCTGTTTCCGATTCTGTGTCTCCCTCTCTCTCTGCCCCTCCCCCGTTCATGCTCTGTCTCTCTCTGTCCCAAAAATAAATTAAAAAAAAAATGTTGAAAAAAGAAAATGGTTACAAAACCACAAGTTACACAATTAGTTCAATATCAGGATTACGTGTTAATAGGTACAGTTTTTAATGTCTACAGAAAATTAAAACACAAGATAAACTGGCACATGACAATACACTTAATGCCCACAGCCCTCCCTGATTTTCCTCAGTGGAGTATCCTTAGGGGGAAACTAGAAGTAAAACCTCTACCCTTTCTTTTTTGATAAACAATAAAATCTAGACTCTCGACTCAAATTACCAAATGGCAGGGAGAACAAACAGAGTGCAGACAGGGAAGACTAACGAAGATGAGTTTATTTTCACTCTTTTCACACATGAAACCGGAATAGTAAATAACGTTTCTAAGCATGGAGTGAGCAGTATTCAAATACGCACCTGTAATGGCTGAAGCTTGGGACTCTTGCTCGGTCAATATTGAATAGCCTAGGTAGCCCAAATACTCCAGGCAGCGCTGGACGTCTAAATAGGTCGTGAGCCTAGGAGAGGGAAGAGGTGACGATCAGAAAAATTCCTAAATGAACATTTACAGAAAAAACAAAACAAAATCCAACAGCTTAAATATCTTATCACCAGACCCAGATAATTTTTGTCAGACTCCTTTAATTTCCCATGTGCCCAACCACAGTGTTTCCCTACACTGACATTCTCAAGGCAGAGAAGAGAGGGAGGGAAGAAGATTGGCAGGGGTAGAATGGGATTCCTGTATCTACACACAGATGAGCAGTGAGACGCTGGTAAGGCCTAGGGCAAGGATATTTTACATTATCTGCTTCCCAAGTTACACAGCATATTGCAAATACTGGCTGGTTGAGGATTTGATAATTAAATCCGAAGAGGTTTGCAAAGGGTGCAAAAATAACTTGAAATTAGCCCTTTTTGTGATGTGAGAAAAGAATAGGTCCTGGTGTTGAGAAACTTAGTCTCACCAAGGTTAAAGTAATAATGTTATCATGCATGACCAGAGGATGTCCTTAGTACCCTACATACAATGTCAACTACACTGTAAACAGACTGTAGATAAACCCTCATTAGAAAGTGCATCAAGGGGCACCTGGGTGGCTCAGTCGGTTAAGCGTCTGACTTCAGCTCAGGTCATGATCTCACAGTCTGTGAGTTCGAGCCCCGCATCGGGCCCTGTGCTGACAGCTCAGAGCCTGGAGCCTGCTTTGGATTCTGTGTCTCCCTCTCTCTCTGCCCCTTCCAGCTCATGCTCTCTCTCAAAAATGAATAAATGTTTAAAAAAAAAAAAGTGCGTTAAAACAAACAACAAAGGGGCGCCTGGGTGGCTCAACTGGTTGAGCATGCAGCTTTCGAGTTCAGATTAGGTCACGGTCTCATGGTTCGTGGGATTGAGCTTTGACTTGGGCTCTGCACTGAGAGTACAGAGCCTGCTTGGGATTCTCTCTCTCCCTCCCTCTCTGCCCCTTCCCAACTTGCATGCACATGGGCACTCTCTCACAATAACTAAACACTTAAAAAAATAAACGAAAATAAAAACAACCAACCAAAAAACCCTCAAAATTAAGTCTTCACTGTCAAGTAAAATATGCTCTCCCCATATTCTGGAAGTGTAAGAATTGTGTAACAGCAATGAGATTTCCAGTTCCCTTAATCAAAAAAGTATGACAATCTAGTTCAATTTTGATGTAACACTTATTACTGCTTCCCTGTACATCAACCAAAAGCAAACACATCCCTTCCTGATAAATTGACAGAACGTCTAAAGTTCATCTTAGACACTGCATCAGCACTATAAATCCTGCTTACAGATATGACTGAAGCATTTCATAAGACCTGACAAATTTACAAAATGATGAATGTGACGCATCATAATTTTAAACGAGCTGTAACTCTAGAGGAGATAGGTGAGCTCTGTACTCACGTCCACTGGGAAAGAAATCCCTGGTAGGTTATCCAGCCTCTTTCATTTGTACAAACTGTGTTATTCACATCTGGCCCCCACGGTATGTAAGGGAAAACTTTAAACAAATCTTTAAGCTCATCAGGTGACAGAGCACAGTCTCTATCCTGAAGATACATAAGGAAGTATACAAAATGTTTACGTATGTAAGAGAATAACTCCCAAACATAAGAACCCCCAGTCTAATAAAGCTGTGCTTCTAAAAACAAATGAAATTTTACATTTTATCAAGAAAATTCCTCTCAGGTACATAAGAAAACCTATACAAGAGTCTATTAGAATCTAGACTTTTTCATCTTGAGAAAATAATAAAAGTAAATAAATAAAAGAAAGTATTTTTGTTAGTCTAACTTAACAAGTTTGAGCAATTCTTGGCTATGTGACATGAGCATCCCATAGCTAAGGAAACAGAGTTAAATCATTTACAGAAAAGTATTTTATTACAAATCATGGAAAACTGCAGCTAAAAAGCTTACCAAATCATGCTTGTCAAAGGTGCTTTGGAGAAACAAATATGCGTGATGATTTAATTCAGTAGTACAATCAGGAGGTATTTTTAGCCTGTAAATAAAAAAATTTTAAGAGTAAAATAGATCATTAACCAAACATTACAATTTAACTTAAGAAATGAATATAAAACTGCAACAAGTCTTTTTGTGGGATGATCGCATTTATAAAGTATCTTTCTTGAAGCCATTTATTTAGACTTTCCCAGGGTAAGTCAACGGAGTGGGATGGCAATCCTCAGAAGAGCCATGATCATGTTCACTCTGAGCTAACACAAAGTTTTCTCAAATTTCTGAAGGGCAGGTTGAAATAAAAATTCTACAAGTAACACTGATTACACTTAACGGGTTTGTTCTTCCCATAAACAAATTTTAAGTCATAACTGTTGCTTATGTCAACATTGTAATGAGTTAAAAATGATGTGAGGAGGTAATTATTTCTGCCTGATTTGACCTTTAAACATCTGAAGTTCAGTTCAATCAAATGCACTGAGCTAGGCACTAGGGACACAAAAACACGACAGGCTCCCTACCTCTACGGAACCCACATTCGAGTGGGAGACAGATCACAGACAACCTCACTATTGCAACAGAATGAGGCGAGTGGTGGATATGGGTAAGCCAAGGATGCTAGGGGAGCCCACACGAGAGGGGACATCTCTGGCCCGGGGATGGGAAGGTGACAGCTGTGTTGGGAGACATCGTGAATGGTGATTTGAAGGATAAGAGCTAGTAAGTAGAGTAAGGGAGAGAGAGGCAGAAAGTGAGACTACCTGGGCAAAAGCCTGGGGTACAAAACAACAGATGATTGGGGAACTAAAAATAGCTTAGTGTTTACTTCTAGAATGAAGGCAGGGAGTGAGCATGAGCACAGCAGATCATGAATGACCTTGTATAACATGTTAAGAAGCTTGAGCTTTATCCTGGCTCAAAGAGAAGTGACGTGGGCAAATCTGTATTTATAAATCTATTAATCTAGCAGCAGTATGAAGGACAGAAGGAGATAGTTTAGTAAGAAGGCTAGAAAGATTCAAGTGGTGGCTTTACAGGGCTATTCTACAGAAAACGAAAGGCAAAGAGCCTAAAGAAATTGAGAAGATATTAGTGTGAACCACAAAGCCATTAGCAATGGCATTTTCTTACTGTCATGCTTAAGAAAGCAGTAAGCAATCTCCTGTAAAATTTATCTACCCATGTTAATGGCACAGAAAACTTGACAAAAGATCCCAGGACAAATTCATTCATTCAATATATTTTTATTGAAAAATCTGGGAAATTACTTGAGCCAAGATTTACTAACTTTGACAAGAGAAGTTCCAACTTAGACCTAATGGACCAGGAATCCAGCTTGAAAGAACTTTGCTTTCTTGATGAGAAATGAAAAAAACAAGAATCTTTCTGAATCCTTACATAGAGAGCGAGGGGTGCTATGCTAAAATAAAAAGGGACAATATGAAGACAAAGTGCCACAGGGGAGAAAAAAAAAAAAAAAAAGAGAGAGAGAGAGAAAGGCTAAAGACCCAAAAGGCTAGATCTTGGGACATCACTTCCCTGAAAAGCCCACCTCCCTAGGGCACAGGAAAGGCAACCAATGGTAAGGCAGTCTCCTGTTTTAGGTGACACTGGTCTGTTTTTTAACAAGCGCAACTTACACACAGCATTATCTACAGGAATATAACTACAAACAGGCTGGCTATTTAGGAAAAATACTTTTTTTACCCTGAGCTAAGAAAAGGCCATAAAACTTAGAAGAAGGACCAATGAAAATAAGTGAACTAATAGACTCTGACCTCTTGACTCCAAATGCAAGTTTGTCCAGCACCTATGATCTCCTTCCATAGTAAGATGAATAAAAAAAAGATACTTATATTCTCCATGAGAAGAAGAGGAAAAGTTTATGCCATGCTATAAATCAGGGGCTCTCAAGTGGGGGTGATTTCACTCCTGAAGGAACATTTGGTAATTTCTAGAGACAACAGACATTTTCAGTTGTCACAACTGGGGGAGGAGGTGTTACTGGCAACTATGGATGTGCTAAATATTCTATAATGCACAGGGCAGACTCTATAATAAAGAACTGTCTAGTCCAACATGTCAATAGTGCCAAGGTTGACAAACCCTGCTGTAAACCTCTCTATAAATCTAAATTAGTCCTGAGTAGCTCAAAGCCTACCTAAACTGTGCACTAAATAAAACTTAAAATACTTGGCAAGCAAAATTAATTAGAAGGCCAAAGGTACATACAAGGGGAATAGATATTCAGGTGTCAAATCCAGATCATCATCATAACCAAATCGTCGAAGCACAGTCCAAGTAGTTTCGTGTCTCCCTCTCTGGATAAAAAGTGTGTGTAAAAAAAGAAAACCTGAAATAAAATGAATTAGTAAGTACGGCTGATGTGAACAAGGGTACAAAGTCACATGGGAGAAAAGCACGTAACTCATAACGGCAAGAGTTAGATCCATGAACACATGCATAAAGCTTTGCATATGGAAGGTCAAATCAAAATGCAGTTTGCAAGTCTCTGAATGAAACACAACAGATTTCAGAATCATTTCACATACACCCATGTCAACAAGAGATGCCAATGGATAAAAGAGCCAAAAGTGACTCCTAAGGAATACATCGACATTCACAGTTATATGATAAAAATAAACGGAAGTCATTTTATTGCTCTTTGAACTTATTTCTGTAATGGAAAACTATGGTTTTCAATTTTGTTTCTTATTTCACTGAGGCTCCAGAATACATTCCACAAGGAACATTTTCTACTCAGTAAATATGACTGGTAGACAAAATGTCTTCCCTAAAAATAGTTTCTATCTAAAAGATGCCTTTAAGTAGTAAGAATTTTAAGATAAATTTGTCCCAGAAATCTCTGTCCATCAGATGGACCTCCGCATTCCTAAGAACCAAGCAATTCCCCCACCTCTAATTTATGCTGACAGTAAGGATGATTATCCCCACCAATGGCCTGTCTCTTCTGAGTATCCAAGTTAGATTTCAGGCATATCAGTAAATACTAACACTTCCTTAAAGTATACATAATGCTATAAAGACCTTCACCTTCTCCCAAAGTTTGAAAAGGTTAAAAGGGGGAAAAATACCATTCACCCACCTTTCAATGTCAATCCACTATCAGCCACACCGTCACTTATGTGTTTTCGGACTACATTCTTGACATCTTCCAGAGCTTGGGGAGCTAATGGAGTGTTGAAACAAATTCTCTAGCAAAAAACATAAAAATGAATTTAAAAACAAAATAGCATTAAAACCACAAACCATATAAAACGTTAATCTACCAAACAACATTAAATCAGTTGTAACCAAAAGAAACAAATTCTAAATTAGGACAATCTCCACCTTGCCTTATTTATTTAAAACCTATCATACACAGAAGGAAAGAAACCTTCCATACGCTTTCCACTGTGTTTCTTATACAGAGTTTTCTGTGTACCCATGTTATACAAACCAAGAAAGAAAAAAATAATTCAGAGTTCAGATTTCACATCATCTTTAATACACCCACTGTATACCATGAAATGACAATGTCAAGGAGTCCCCTCAATTCCTATGCATAGGAGGGCTTTATACCTCAGGTAAAGACTGAAATAGCTTGATGTGAAAGAGTTTTACGTGAAAGAGACACGTTTATCAACATAACATTACTGAAGCCAGTAAGTTTTTTTATAGCTTTTCTCATCAACCCCCCCCCCCCGCCCCAAGATAGACAAATGCCTGAAGAATAGGGCTACCTGAAAGAAGTTGAGTTCAGCATCATTGAGAGTGCCATCATTATCTTGATCAGATATTTTAAATATACGGGTGAGGGCTTTTATACAGGCTGGTTTCATCTAAACGTCATTGAGAAAAGAAACAATTATGTTAATTAAAATAGTTGGGATTTCAGAGGCACAGTGTTCGGCTCCTGATTTTGGCTTACGTGATCTTGCATGATCTCGCATTTCACGGGTTCAAGCCCTGCATGAAGCTCCACGCTGACAGCACTGAGCCTGCTTGAGACTCTCTTTCTCCCTCTCTCTCAAAATAAACAGACAAACAAAAAAATAGCTGGGGGGCACCTGGGTGGTTCAGTCAGTAGCATCTCACTTTAGCTCAGGTGAAAATCTCAGTTTGTGAGTTTGAGCCCCATATCCAGCTCTCTGCTATCAGCACAGAACCAGCTTTGGATCCTCTGTCCCCCTCTCCCTGCCCCTCTAGTTCTCTTTCTCTGTCAAAATAAATAAATAAAATTTTAAAAATTAAATGAAATAAAAAATAGTTGGGATTTCAAAATATGAATTTCATAAGCAATGTTAAGAATAGTTCTGACTGGGGCGCCTGGGTGACTCAGTCGGTTAAGCGCCCAACTTCAATTCAGGTCACGATCTCGTGGTCCGTGAGTTCGAGCCCCGCGTCGGGCTCTGGGCTGACCGCTCAGAGCCTGGAGCCTGTTTCAGATTCTGTGTCTTCCTCTCTCTGCCCCTCCCCTGTTCATGCTCTCTCTCTGCCTCAAAAATAA